CGTCATTGGCCTTGAGCACGCACATGGCTTGCATCGCGCTCTGGGATGTGCCACGGCTGCGAATATCCATTTGCCCTCCTCTACTTCCTCGCCGTCGTTTTCCGTCGTGACCGTCACATCGAAGCATCTCGTCGCCTTGAGGCGCACCTCGGGGTCCTTGAGGCTCTTCCCGAAGTCCACCAACGTCGTCGGCGCCGTCTCGGACTCCTGCGGGCGGGGCCCATGCGCCACCGCGGCCTTGACCTCGTCGCACTTGGCCTCCATGGCCTCGCTCATCCTGAAGAGCAGCATGCGGTGGTAGGCGTCTGGTTTCTTGCCTAACGGGTGGCCCGGGTAGTCCGCGGCTGCGACTGCGTCGCGCGCCTCTTTCCCAGTCTTCTGGCAGTGCTTGGTGCTCGCCGCCAGCGCCACTCGCATCTGCGAGCCGACCTGAGCCTCGCCACGACGTTCTGGCCCCGCGCCGACCCGCGGAAAGTTGTCTTCGTGTTGGAGCAGCAGTTTCGTCATCAGCTTGTCCTTCCTCGAGATGCCCCCGACCTCGGCCTCTCTGCTGGCGTTGTCGGCGTCCTCGACCCCTGCCTCGCCCGCGTCCCTCTTCTTGAGAAGCTCGGTTGCTGGCGTGGACATCGATCGCCTGCGCTCTGCGGGTCGGTGCCGCCTGAGAAGGTCTCGGGGCCCCTGAAAGCTGAACCTGGGCCCGAACTGTCTGCGGACCGGTGAGATGAGGACATCGTTTCAGCTGGATGCGTCTGCTCAAGGTGTCCTTGCGGGTAAAGACCGAGGAACAATATGGGCATCTGCGGGCGCTAAGGTCCTCTGGGGGAATATTCACGCGATTGGCAACGATGGAGTGGGCTGCAAACCTGTGATTCTCCAATCCCTTTTGGCCATTGCATGCTTTTCCACACACACTCTGGACACACTAGACGTCGTGAAAAATCAAAATCACCCGCTTCCTGCGCTTGATCACTCTCAGCTTCGCGTGAGAGAACGCCCTCGAGCTCTGCGTCTGAGAGCATGGTGAACCATTCTAGCCAGTCGCGAGAAACACTCGGCGAATCGGAGGGCGCTCGCTCCTTGTCCTCTGCCGGGACGCGGGTCCACAGCGCGCGTAGATCAGAACGGAGTTGCCCTAGACAACGTGAATGGTTGCGGCACCTGGAGTCCTCAAACGAAAGTTTCCCAAAAATAACCGGCCGCGCTGCAATCGCGGGGTCATATTCAGGGGGGCCAGGTAGAAATCCCGGCGCAATGACACGCCGACGCCATTGGAGCCTACGACACAGAAGAGCACAATTGGCACTGAAGATGATGCTCGATGGCAAATGGAGTTCGATACGCGGTACATATGGGCTGGGGGTCTCAGAAGGCGTCGAGGCTTGCGGGTCTGCCATCGCTTCAACTTCCCCAGATCGGCGCGGGTCAGAAAAGCGACCCCACACGCATGCAGCGCGAAAGATCGGACCAGTGAACGCCAAAATCGCACCTTCAGTCGCGTGCTGAGGTTGCCTTTTCAAGACTCTCCGGGCCAGCCGACCGTGAGCCTTATTCGCGGAGGAGAGGCGAGTCTTGACCTCGGAGGAGTAGGAACCGGCAGCGGAGAGCAGGCAGCCGAGGTACTTTACCGTCGGCGTCGGGCGCAGCGGGCGAGCCTGCACGTCTGCGTGGGCCATGCTAATGCCAGTCTGCTGTTTCGCCATGTTCTGTCTCATTTTGCAGCACCCCTTCCCGGCAACGCTCAACATCACTTCAGTTTTCGGGACGTGCATGGTCAAGCAGCTGGCACCAACGCGGGTCCTCAGGAAGTCCGGGAACGAGGTGACAGCATCTAAGTTGTCGACAACCGTCAGCCCGAGTAGGTCACCTACGAACTTGATCTGGGACGTGTCTAGATCCTTTAACTCGATATCCGCAAGGTTGGCTGAGTTCAGGCTGAGTTCCTGAAGACCTGGATGCGGGGGTCGCACTGAACCTGGATGCCCTGGTCTCCCGCGGATGTGGTCTGACTTCTGAGCTCCAGGGTAACCATGTTATAGATAGCTATAGATAATCCTGGACCCTCGACGCTTCCTTGTCTAACGCCTCCGCGGATGAGTAGTTGACGACAGGGGCGATTAGTGCGAGCATCTCGAAGTACGTAGCATGCGCCGTTGTAGAGTTCCTCAGTCACCAGGCGGGTCCGGCGGGAAAGCGCGAGCTGCTCGATGCGCGCCCGAATAGTGCACGGTGACTGGGTTCGGCGCGGGTTAGAGCGAAAGCGTCTGCCGATGTCATCATCTCAAGCAATGGCGCCTCTCGTGGAGAGACCCTGAAGCGCGCCAAACTGCGCGACAGAGAGCTTGCCCGACATCGAGCGCAACAACGGCATAATTGTAACGTTCGCGAAAGCCTTACCCACGTGGCAGATGACATTGATTGTTCTGTAATGGTCCTCGGCGTTCATCCCGTCGCCCTTGGGACCCCTCCGAGAGACTGGTTCGCCATCTTTGAACCTCCGGGGAACTCGCTGGCAAGCTTGGGCGGCCCGAAAAAAACTCAAAGAAGAGGATTTCCTACGATGTCCGCGCTGAGCTCCCATAGTTCTGCCACAGCTCCTCCGGGGCCCTGGCGAGGGGCTTCGGGCGCGACGGGGCCGGTCCACTTGAGGACGGGGGCGCTCTTGTAGTTGGGGGGCTCGTCGAGGGCCCTAGTCGCGTCGGTGGCGTCGCACTGGCCTATGAGATCCCCGCTGGGGGCCTCGTTGATCTCTCGGGGGCATCCCCCCGCAGCCATGGGCAACTCGGTCGCCGCGAAGATGGAGCACAGGGCGTCCGCCCGAACTTGCTGGCCTTCTAAGTCGTCAAAGCACGGGGCGCCCGTTGCGGGGGCGCGGGCCGTCGGCGTCGGCACGCGGGGCTTCGGCGCGAGCCTCTTGACGACGGAATAGCACCTTCGGATATCGCGGACTGCGTCGGCGCGCTCGGCACCTGCAACCAGTGACGCAATGTGCCGACGCTTCTCGGATCGGACAGCTCGTTTCGCCCGATTGGCTGCACGGCAAAATTCGGAGAGGCCAGATGTACACAACCACGAGTGGTGATCCAACGCATTCGGAAGCATTCGCTGGAAGTACTGTTTTCGGCGAATCAGTTGAAGAGTATTGTCGGTAAGGTCCTGCTTCGGCGAAGCATTGAGATTCTCATCGTAAATATGGCGCCCTGCGCCCACAACCGCGCCCTCCAAGGCATCATAGTAAGCTGGCGGACTGGCGCAGGGGAGCTCGGGGCCACACTCTGGCTTCCAATCGCCGTAGATGATGCGATCCCGTAGCTCCTGGCCCAGTCGGCTGCGAAAGTCTCGGACACGCTCTGGGAGATCCTCGGCGCGAAGGGAAGTCTGCAGGTCTCGCAACATCAGGTCTCTGTTCCAACGGAGCGGCTGTGGAGCTGGAATCTTTCGACATCGGAACTTGACTGAAATCCGAGCTTCAATCGGGCGGCGGTCACGGTAGCCTCCAAGACTGACGGGGATGGCTTGGGGAACTTTAGCGCCAAATCCAGCGCCTCCCTGCAAACGTGTGCATATGAAGTCCATATGGTTCCAGGTGCTGCCATCTGTGTGCAACCAAGTACCTGCATGTATACGTTTTCTACCATGCGCGTTCAGCGCCGTCAAATTCATGTTCTGAAGGATGGTGAGTAACTGGCCGCCGTCGTGGTTGGTCACTCTCGGATGGCGGTGAACTCCAGCGAATCCGACATGTGGGAGCTCTTGTGTTATCGCACCGTTGGCATCGAGGTACCAGATAACGGTAGTTCGCTGAGGGACTCGACGCAATGTAGACTCACATGTGTGCCAGAAAGTGTTTTGTGCTAGTCTGTGTTCCGGATGTTGGCGGTTGCGGTCAGCGCCAGCTGGTTGATAGGGAGGGGTGATGGTCGGAGCGTAGCCGTTCAGGATGTAGAGGTCTCGCTTGTGGCGTCCATCTCTGCGGACTCAGAGCCCTAGGAGTCGTCCAGGGAGCCATTCGTGTACGCAGCGGACCTCGAGCGGGTGGAAGTGGTAGAGGTTGAAAGAACTCAAACATCCATTCTTTGCTCGTAGGGATGTCCGTGGGCAGGATATAGTCTGAAGCCTGCACTGTTCCATGGGGTAGTACCGCTCATGAGCGTACTCTGGAAACAAACAATGGCGATCTGCTTGTCCTGGGCTAGCCGCGAAAGTTCGCCCATGCGATCGATGGAAAAAAAGGAGTCGGAGTTGCAGTTCCAGACTATCATCATGTGAGGATGAGACGAAACTTGTGCTCGTCGAGGTCGTGCTGGTGGAGGGGCAAGCTCAGCTGATCGGTGATGATGCGGCCTATCGCACTGAGCGGCGTGGGTAACCATGGGACGTGTGAGCAACGGGCCTCGATACCAGCAATTTCCCTGTCACTTCGGCGAGCCGCGCCGCGCGCCTCCAGGCCCCTTTGCCGCCCATTAGCCCTGGCTCCCGCAATCCACTTGGTCGGACGGAGGGTTGCAGTCCAGCTCGGTCGGGCAGCCGAGCAGCGCTCGCCTCGCAGGCGCCACCGCTGAGCTCCTCCTCCAGCTCCTTCACGCCCAGGGCGACATCGCCATGGCAGGAGGAGAGTGGTACAAGCCCGCCTGGTGGGGACTTGCGACCCCACGCTCGCCTGTGCGAGAAGCGTCCTTGAGCCGCCGAGGCTTCGTTTTGTTTCCGTCAGCTTCCGCCGCCCTTCTGCCTGTTTCCGCCGAGATGGTAGCCTCTCGGACCCCAGAAGTTGGGGTCCTGTCTGACACAGGCGCTCGGGAGACCAGTTGATAGCAAATGCGGAGACTTTGCGAGGGGGGCGATCATTTGACCGCGAAAGCGAAGCCATTAGGGGGCTCCCGGGGGGCAGATTGAGATCTCCTGAGGTCCTTTTGGTTGCCTTGGGGCCGTCTTGGGGCCTCTAGGGCACATTTTGAAGCCTCCTGGGAGGAGCCTCTCGGTATATCGTTCATTCCCCCGAAGGCCGTCGAGATCAACGTACTGCCGGTCAAGACGGCGATGCACAACGGGGCTGGTCCGCCGCCCCGCGATGGGCTCCGCAATGGGCTCCGCAATGCGTTCCGCCATGGTTTGCGAGGGGTAAGTCGGTATGTAGTGGATCTTCTTCACCGTGGTCAC